GAGTGGGTTTAGCCCCAGATATAGGGAATCAGAATACACATTTTAAGATGATCCTCTGGTGATTCTTATGTTAAAATATGGATTCCAATTCTGTATTTATGAGGTGGAAATGCAAATTTCCCAGCAGGACCTCAAAGTGGAAGGAAACCATTCAAAGCTCTGGCTAAAACCCACCAACTGCTCAGAGGGAGAAAAGGCCAGGGCATCTGCTCCTGCTGTGGTTTCCACCAAGGAAACCTCCTCTCTTGGGGTGCTATCAACTCACAGTCCACAGGAAGAAATCGTACAGCTACCCAAAGAGAGAACTTTCTCTCATCGTGGTTGTTTTTCCCCCAATCATTTTACTGGGGGCTCGTACAACCCTTATCACAATCCATCCATCCATCCATGGTGTCAAGCACATTTGTACATTTTTTGCCATCATCATTCTCAAAACATTTGCTTTCTGCTTGAGCCCTTGGATCAGCTCCTCTTATCTCATTGTGGTTTTTATCATCTGCATTCTACTAATCTGAAGCTGATTGAGGTGATTGGTGATTAAATAGGAAGCAGATTTTTTTTTTAAAGTGTGAACTCTGTTGAATGTCAAGGTTAACGCTTGAGCTGTGAAACTAGAATGGTTAATCTGCTCAACCCATTAAAGGAGGGGATGGGGTCCCTCCTTTCGGAATGGCGAACCTCCCCCTTGGCACACTGTAGTTGGTAAATCACACCTGTTTGGCTATTCACAATGGTAAGTGATCACCCCCTCCCTCAAGCTTTGTCAGGGCCAGGACACGGAGCTCTGGTTCCAGATGGGGAAAACCAGCATTCCCTGACTTAACAAAGATTGCATCTTGCCTTTGCTTAGTGGCAACAGCTGGGGACTTTCTAGTTCACCTTGAGTCCTTGTGAGGCAGCCCAGGTGAGTCTCTCCAGTCTGTCCACTTCAGTGAGTCTTACAGGAATGGGCCCAACCTCCAGTGTCTGGGCAATGCCATTGGGAATTGCCCATGCTAGCCCTGAGATGCTAATGGGATGCTATGGGAGAATACATAAATTAGATGACCAGATACAAAGGGTGGATATAATCGCATGCTACAGAAGCCAGAACCCCCACAAAGCCCCACTTGATTCTGGCACATATATAGGCTATTCAAAACATCGTTCTTTACAGCCTCAGCTTGCTACATTGAAGGGACTGGTGGGTTTGAATCTCTGACCTTATGGATAGAAGCCTAACAATCCACAGCCCAACCGGGCTCTTTCAGAAAGGGGAATTCCATAGCAAATGGGGAACTTGGCATCACTGCGTGGTGCAAGTAGTTTAGCACTTCGTTCAAACACACACAGGCATCCTGAACAAGCTTGGCACCCTGCTTCTGTAGGGTCAAAGCCTTGAAAATCCCAGGAGCCCAGTCCTATTCTACACAAAGAACAACACCAAAGAACAAGTCAATCATGAACACTTGAAGAACAGGGTATTTAGAGCTGTACCAACTCTATGCCACCTCATTATTGGCCATTAATTAACAGAAGCCATCCCAGGATCCATATTCATAGCAAGTCCATTGGCCCATCAGTGTGAAGCCTCAGGATTCAGTGTGTTGTGATGGAATTCATTGGAATATGTCTAGAAATGGACTGTAAGTCTTTGAGTTTAAAACTGACCTGCAAATCACTGCAGTTAATGACGTTACTTGCTAGGTTAGCCGGAGCACTAATCTGTTGGAACAATAGACCAACACAGCCAGTACTTGATGACCTGTGTGTTTAGGAGGAAACATCAGTAATTCAGTACAAAACAATCACCTGTTGGTTGCTAGTATAATTACAGAACTTTAAAAATTACATGACCTTTTAGTAGCTAATTATGTACCAGTTATATACATTTTATAACTTCATTCTTTGAGCATATTTGAAGTAAAATAAGGGTAGTGGGAGGGACTGGGTAAAGGTTAGACAGGATTGATGAACATTACCTCCCAAATATAAAGGCCGGCAGTCTCTGGATTACGGATGTCTGATTTACAGACAGCCCCTACTTGCCCTTTTAGGTTAGGAAAATTTGTCCTCATTTTTGGAAACAGTTGAACCAATCCCTACTTTGCAACAAAGTATTCTCTGTAATCACTTTCACTTACTGCATGGGCAGCTTTTCTTTCACTTGAAGAAGGCTCAATTTGAACTTCATGCACCTGTCTCAACTCATCTACAAATTCTTAGACACAGTTCAAATCTGTTTTTATTATAATCCTGGAGACTGCCTAGTCAAAAACTAGAAAAAGCCTTTCATTAGTAGTCTACCATCACACTACCATGCCCCCAAAAAGCCAAATAACAATACATTTCATCTGGAGTATTAATTAGGATCAAGACTTGGGGATAGTCCACCAGCTGGCTAAGTATAGAGAATCTACTGCTTAGATGCATGCATAGTTCATCATTTCAGTTTTTCTGTGGCCAACTATTCCTCCCTCCAGGGTAAGCTGGTGTGACCAAGGTGTGATTCAAAGAGGGCTGAGCAGACTCTTCACTCGAGCTCTTCAACAGCGCGGCTGATGTTTGCCCACCTGACCCTTCGCCAGTTTCCCAGGCTCTGTAAAGCTTTGCAGGAACAGACAGTCTCACCTGTCTCTGGAGGAACAACTTCTGGATTTGAATTGTCACCTTGTGGTAGGAGCCCAACACCTGACAGTGCCACCAGGGCTCACCCCTAGTACCCCCAAAACACTTTCCAGACGTCCTGCAATCTGAACCCTCAGAGAAGCCTACTTCTTATTCTTACCAAGTTTGGGTCTTTACTTTTTCTATGGCTTATGTGCTCTGCTCTGTCTCACTGATTAATTCCTGTTATGTGCCAGTTAGCTAGAATTGTTTCTGTTGCTTGCAACCATGAGCCATACCTACAACCACCACAGAAGCCAAGTGTGGGTGATAGAATCTTTGGAGCACTTCCTTTTTTTTTTTTTTTAAGCACTTTCTAAAATATCTTCAGCTTTGACAGACTGATCCAGTACCTCACTTATCATTTCATGAAGCTGAGATATTAAAGGACTTCATTAAGGTATACAGTTAGAAGTCAGGCCTTTCAACAATTTCCATCACATCATAAACTAGTGACACAAGTCTTACAAGTTGGCTTGCTATGGCTCAGAGGTAGGCAAATGATGTAAAAGGCTACTTCAAAGACCCCTTCAATCAATTAATCAATGAGTATTTATTGCAAGGCACTGTGCTGGGCACTATCGAGAATACATGGAAGATTAGACAAAAGTCCCTGCCCTCAAGGAGCTTACAATCTAGTTGGGAAGACAAGGAATACATACAAGGAAAATTAAATAACAATATACAAGAGTTACGTAAAAATGCAAGATAACAGTACAAGAGATTTCCATAAGTAGTACCTGATCAATTACTAGATGAGGACTGTCAATAGGGACTGCAACTAGTGATGAGAAAGGACATCACCAGGAACTGAATAACGAGTGTGCTCATAGGAGAGCAGAGGCTGTAGCTATCCTGGGATAGCTGGCATTTGGGTAGGAGAAGGGGGGTGGGGGTAGGAGCGGGAGGATATTTCAGGAGTAGACAGCCACATGACCAAAAGGCACAGAGGTGAGACCAAAGAAGCCAAGTTCTGGGGCCAGTTAGGCTGGGTACAAAATTAAGTGGCTATTAGGATTAAGATGGTCCTTAATGTTCAAGTTTAGATTTTACTCTTCTAGCAATAGGGAAAGGGCTGTAAGGAAAAAACAACCTTAAAAACCCACCAATAGAAACCAACAAACAAACACAAAAAACAAAAGCCCAAAGAGATATACTTAGAGTAAATACACAAAAATGTAGCTAATCAAGAGAAAAGTTTTTCCCTTAGGGTATTTATTTGTGGAGTCTGATTTTCTCTACTTCAAAGAAGAAATGATGTCTTCAGGGTGTCAATTCTTAAGGCAGAGTTCTGGGTCCACTAGCTTTGGGTCAGGGCCAGAGACTTCTGAGCCTCTCCATGATCCCAAATGGTAACTAGCTCAAGGGTGCACTAACAAATTCCCTGACATGCAGGCAGGAAAAATGCTCCCACAAGACAAGAATCTTTACAAATGACAGAATATTTATTAACAATACCTTTTTTAAAAGATTACATCTGCTAGATCACTGATAAGTATCATTTACACTGGGTTTGGGGGCTTCCTGGGGTTTCTTTTCTTTTTTTCATTCATTTTATTATTTTGTTAATTTTTTTTTCTGCGTGTGATTTTTAATGTTATTTTATTCCAACATAGAAGTAACCATATCAAACTAAGAAAGGAACACAGCTGGAAATACCGACATCATTGTTTGCAGTTATCACCCTAATTTTCATACAAGTGGAATCCTGATATGACTTTATTGAATAACTAGAGCCGAGGTTGAAAAGCTAACTCTCTTGTTTGTAAGCAAAAAATGACAAATGACAGGCAAATTTAAGCTCATCGGGAAAGAAGAAAATGTGTGTTTGTTTCCATGTGAAAACTTTTATAGAAAAATGTCATTGCCGTTTACGGCAACTGCTCCATGAGTGTCAGCTTAGAAAAATCTCCCCTTTCATAACAGTCCTTTCTGTAAGAGCATGGTTCTATGGATATTGCCATCTTCCAACGTGTGCTTTGTAAGATGTGGAAGGTAGAGCTTACAAAGCAACTAGGCTACCTATTGCAAAATCAGGAGAATTGTCAAGACATCACATGATTGTACTAAAGTCTTTATAGAGTCAACTGAAAAAAATCTGTGCAGCAACTATGTGCTGCAGTAGGAGAAACTTGCCAAACTCCGTACATGATGTTGCTTCAAAAGATGGGTTCTATTAATAAACATATATGTCATATATAAGAAAGTTTGTAGCGAAATTATGAATCCATCAACAGGAATTACCATTGTTTTTCAAACGTACATCCAAAACAGATACATTTAAAGATAGTAAAATTCCGTTTCATCCTTTGAAAGTCTTGGTTGACTATAGTAACGTTTGGTCTATGTTACTACAGGATATATAACATCAAAGGTAGTGCTACAAAGAGGATGCTAACTTGCAGGAATGAAAAGGAAGTCTAACTGTACAAGGCTAAATTCAGGGATGGGGGTATTGCATGAGATACCTCTTGGGAAGTCTGATTTTGAGATTGCAGCCATTTGGGAAAGCATCTGGAGTTTGGTTGAACAATGGAGTTGATGATGGGGCGGGGCAACATTTTACATATCAACAGGACTTAATTCAATGCATGAACCAGCAATGGAGTCATTCACCTCCAGCAGCCTTGGGTTTCAGACCAAGTCTTGCTTTCCCTCTTCTGCTGCTCTCTAGCCTTGGAAAGCTGCATAAGTGATTTGCTGTTTATTTACCAAAGATGAGTCTTGAGCTCTGTCTTCAAAGGAAAGATTTTCAAATAATAGTTGTGTGATTGCTTTGCCCATTGCACTTTACAGCAGAGGGAAAAAAATAATATCTACATTATATGTTAACTTTAAAAAATTCTATAAAACACTAAATATATAATAAAAATATGCATATAAGGACATATGTAAACTGCTTTGGTAACATCGTATTACAGATGTTTTCAGTGCATTGCAGAGTTTCCAAAGAAACTTCAAACAAAGCTAGATTTGCTTTGAGGAAGTACTGTATAATGCCATTCCTAAAGAAGCAAAAAACATCTTTTTTCCAGTAATAAGACGTACTTGAACAACAATATTACTTAGTACTGGGTGTCTTCAAAACAACTAGCTAAACGTTGCTTATATTATAAACATCAAGTCTTTTAGGTAACTTTTGTCATAAACTGGACCTCGCTGTGAGGGAGATCATTATGGTACTGATGGCAGAGAGTGTGCATGCATTCGAAGTGGAAGCTCCGGACCCCCTTGCGTAGGCATCTGAAAAGAGAGAGAGAGATTTACTCAACATGGGCTCATGGGGACTCTGGAGAGACAAGGGGCCTTGTGGAAAATGGCAGAATTACCTGGGCTTCTGGAAATGATCCTATCCTTCACACACACACACACACACACACACACACACACACACACACCCCACACACACTTGTCCAGTCAGCTCTGCGTCACTGAGACCCATGTGTGTCAGAGTGGAACTTTGCCATCTCTGGTTTCCGACGGCTGATTCGTCCAAAGTGGATCCTCCTACCTTTCTTCTGAAGAACTGCTGGGAAGATATGACCTCTCGGTTAGCAGGGAGCACCCCAGACGGTTGCCCTGTCTAGAGACGCCAACCATATCTCAGTGACTTCTGAATATTATTTCTAGGAGCTTGGGTGGCATAAAGCATTTGGGATATGCTGTTATCCTAAAGGTTTGTGGTTTGAACCCACCCAGTTGCTCTATAGAAGAGAGCCCTGGAGAATAAACTGCTTCCATAGAGTTGACAACTAGAAACATAACACACACACACACACAGTAGCACATGGGGTTGCCCTGAATCAGGGGACAACTACTATACAGTAGCTAACAGCAGCAGCAGCAGCAGCAGCAGCAGCAGCAGCAGCATTTCTAGGGTTACTTAGCTAAGTAAGAGCCTGGGGGCAGTTTCTGGGCACACTGGAGCTCAGTTTAAGCATTGGTATAATGAAAAAATCCCTGCCCAAGGGGAGAGACACCTCAGCATCACTAGTAACAAGACTGACAAATATTGACACATCAACAGTGCATTAAAATAACAACCTCTCCTCCCTTTAAAGGACACATAGGTGTTTCATAGTAGAATTCTTGCCTCACATCGGGGAGACTTGGGACAGATTCCTGGCCAATGCACCTTATGTGCAGCTGCACCCCATCTGTCAATGGAGGCTTGTTGCTCAGCAGGCTTCAGTGAAGCTTCCAGTTTGTGATGGACTAAGTAGAAAGGCCTGGTGATCTACTTCTGAAAAATCAGTCAATGAAAAAGCTATGAGTTTTGAGTCCAATCTGTAACTGACCATGGGGTGTCACTGGATTGGCCAGTGTTTTGTTCTGTTATGCATGAGGTCACCATCAACCAGGGACCAACTTGAGAGCACCAACAATAATAACTCTCGTTTGGGCTCTGTCTATGTGCTGAACCTAGATCAGTATGTCACTAAAATCTTAATAAATAAACCAAGAAAACAAAAACCAACGTATGAGGATCAGGTATAATTATTACCCCATTTAACAGATGAGAAAAATGGGATTCTGACAGGTGAGACAACTGGTTTAAGATCACTTCGCTAATAAATTGGGACTCAAACCCACCTATCTATACATATCCTGATTCTGAACAAAATCATTTCAATCCTTTAAAAAAGTATTTCTTATGGGTCTTTGTTTTTCAACAGCAAATAGTTGCCAACTGTCATTTAGGGCTTCATCAAGATTATGTTGATGAAGAGGTCTCACTGACCAAAAGAACGAAAAATCCCTTTACAAGAAAAAAAATCATGCTTTGCTCAAAGTTACATCCTTATCATTGATTATCTGTATCGATATAATTGACATTAGTACTCATATATGTCAGAATATACATACCAGTACTCATATACTCATAATTGACATTAGTACTCACATACTCATATATGTACTCATATATGTCATAGTACTCATATAAGTGATAAAAATATTTATTAAATAAAACTATCATGTATAATTCTATAATGAATAAACACAAGAGTTATCAGACAGACAAAAACAAAACAAAAATGACAACAAATGAAATTATAAGGAAAGTGAGAATTCAGACTTTATCAAAGTGAGCCAAATAAACCTCAAAGTAAATTTCAATCTCCTGATAATGTGCCTACAGATGACTTTTACATTGCTCCCTCAGTCAGGCTCTTTCTCAAGAGGAGCAAGGAATGCATTTTTAGTGAGATGGAATTGTCCTTGGTTGTATGGAACACCCTCCAGAATGCTCTTAGTGTTTGCATGCACACAATATTTAAGCTACGATCTTGAGGCAATGTAGAGACCAGCTCCTGTAGATAGACATCCTCAAGGTTCTCAACAAGATGAATTGTTACGGTGGCTGCAACAATGGCTCAAAGAAAACAATAGTTGTGAAGATGGCGCAGGGCCAGGGAGGCTTTTGTCCTGTTGGGCACAGGGGCACCTAGGAGTTAGAACCAACAGGATGGTACCTAACAACAACAACATGTAGATGAAAACCACAGGTGCCCATATGTAAAACCCTGATTGAGTGTGGAACTGATCAATGGTTAAATCAGTCAGAACCGGCCAAGCAGTTGGTGTGCAGAACACCACTTGTGATCTGTAACATCTTGTCCATTTTCAGCACGTCTTCCTTTGTGAGTCTTTTCTGTGAAGCCCTGACTCATCAGGAAGTCTGACAAGGCAGGCAGGGGGTAGAGTGGATAGAGCATTTCCTTACTTGATATCTTTGGGATTCGAATCTGTTCACTACTGCTGCCATCTCCTCCATCGCTGAATGGCTTAATTTCTATTATATAATCTTCATCAAAAGGCAAAGAGAGCTCCACTGATGTTTTGTTTGTTTCAATGACAGATGTACTTCTTTGTCTATTCCATCTATACATGACCTGCCAATACAGAAAGAACAGGTGTCACCTGCTGTCATCAGAAAGGCCCCAAATATGGAACATTTACATTATTTCCTTCAGGCACCAGGGCTGTGCAGTGATGCTGAGGTTGCCAGGGTGCCCACGCATGCCTTTGGAAGCTGCATCTGAAATGAGGAGCACGTCAGGCCCAGCCATTGTATTGTGAGGAAAGAGTTGAGAGGACAATGGAGCATGTGGCCAGGCTGGATGGTTTTGCCTGGGTGCAGTGAGGCTTCACACAATGTCCCTGGGACTCAGCTTATGCACCTGAGATAATTGGGAAAATGAGTACCTCCATGAGTACATATAATGAGCCCCAGGACTGTTAATTCCAAGGTTGGAGGTTCGAACCCATGGGAGAAACATGGGTATCTATTTCTGGAAATATGTACAGTGTCATTAAACCTGTACATTAGGTCATTAGGAGTTGGAATCCATTTGATAGCAGTGGGTTTGGTTTGGGCTTTTATGGCAAATACCTTCATGGGACCCCTGGTGGCCCAACTGTTAAGCTCTCAGCTGCTAATCAAAGGATTGGTAGTTGCAACCCACCCAGTGGCTCTGTGACAAAAAAGACTTGGCAATCTGCTCTGTAAAGATTAAAGGTTTTCTAATCTGTCACATGGGGTTGCTATGAATCAAAATTGACTTGACAGGACTCAACAAGATGGGTGCATAGGAAATTTCTCAATGGTGCAGCCAACACACCTGGTTGCACACTAAAAGGTGAGAGGTTTGAGTCCTCCCAGAGGCATGTTGGAAGAAAGGCTCGGGCCGTCTCCATCTGCACACATCATCCATTCAAAATCAAATAGAGCAAGTTCTACTCTGACTCAGATGGAACATCATGAGTTGGAATGGGGTCATTCTGGAAATGTCTGTATTTCAAAATAGTTCCACTTAGGCTTTTTGCTGTTCTTGTTGTTTACTTTCTTTCCCAGACTAGGCTCAGAGTTTGGGTTGGTAAATCGTTTCAGGAAATGGTCAGAGAGCGCTCCTGAAAACAAATTCACCTGCCTGGGATCACCTCCCTTGGTTGACATCAACTCCATTCAGAAATAGAACATAAAAACCTAGAAAATCTACCTTCTTGAGTACAACAATAAGGAGGATGACAACAACCATTGAAAAAAATATTTCCAGCGTGCTTCTCAGAAGCCAAGAACTTTATGAACAACACCATGTTTAATCATTGCAACAATCTACTAGAGATAATTACCATTGTTCTTTTTAACAGACCAGATGGGGATACTGAGACCCAGAGATGTCTCAGAGTTGTTAAGTGGCAGGATGAAGACCTCTAAACTATTGTCAAACCATCAGACCATAAAACAGATGGAGTTGATGAGATGACATGCTATCTTGGCTACACATCTTACTTTGAGGAGCGTGATCTATCCGGATGCTCTAGTCCAGCGGTTCTTGACAGGGTGGAGGGGGAGGATAATTTTTCAATGAAGGGGGTGTGTGGCAGGGGGTGTGTGGCAATATCTGGGTAAAGTTTTGGTTGTCGCAGAGCAGAGGTCAGGGATGTTATACAACAATGCCCACGACAGGACCTGGGGCAAGGAATTATCCTCCTGAAAATGTCCATAGTGATGGGGTAGAAAACGCTGTGCTAGCTGCCCTCCAGCTTAAGCTGCTCAGGTAATGTGACTGTGCATCCTGGGGTGGGGCTCACAGATGAGAACAGCTGTTTGCAGACCTCAGCGTTTGGGGAGGCTTCTTAGAGACCCATCTCAGTGCTTTGGATTCAATCGGTCTGCTGTGGGGCTCCAAGCATTTGCATTTCTAATACGTTCCTAGGCAAGACTAATGCTGCTCAGCTAGGGACCACACCTTTTGATAACCACAAGATTAATAATGCTTCTCTAAGTCTCCCTATAATTTTTGACCCAGTGAGGTTAAAGAGAGAGCACTCTTCAATCGCCAGACAAAACCAACCCCAAGGAAATGTCCCTTACTTAAATGGTTTAGATTCCACTGCAGCCCGCCTTGGCATTTCATCACCTTAATTTATGTCTTTCTAAAACAAGGTTGGAAATGCAATTTCCTTGAGGTGGAAAGATGCACGTTTCATCCCGGTTTCTCTCTGGAGCCTTGGATGCATCAGGCACCACATCCCTTGCTAATGACCAGGCTCAAATAAATCCTCCAGCACCTCCAGGGGGGACAGAATCTCTCCTCCTGGCCCTTCAAGAGAATGGGCTGGCTGATGGAATGCAAGGTCACACGGGGCTTTGTGGAATAAATTGCTTCTTTGATTTACCTCTGATCCTTGCCAGAGCTTGGTGAATCCAACGAGTTTCAAATATAAATCCCAAAGAAACACTTCCAGGAAAAAGGCGGCCTTTTCATCAGTGCTGCTTATCAGACTTGGAATATTCGGGCCTGCAGTAGAGCCCAAATCAGGTCCTGTAAAACTGTTATTTATGCCACACTCCCGGCTCAGCTGATTGCATTTCATTTAAGCCAGAAGTGGAAGGCAGGGGGAACCAGGACATAGTGGGAATCAAAATGATATTAGGAAATTTCAAAGCCAACCATGTGCCTCGGCATTATAGTTTGTAAAACCCGTGTTTCCCTGAAAATAAGACATGGTCTTATATTTATTTCTCGTCAAGAAGACACACTATGGCTTATTTTCAGGGGTGTCTTATGTTTATTAAGTGTGGTACAACAATGTACATCCATTCAAATTCAGTGAAGTTGTAGTCTTCTGGAACATGGACCCACAGTGCTGAGTCAAAGGGCAGCCACAGCTCTACTCCCCACCCCCCCACCCCCCCAGGACACACCATCCCTAAAGCAGAGCGTCCTGTTCCTCACTCAAGGGGGAGACTTTGACTCTCACTGTCTCTGTCTCCCTCTCTGCCTCCGCTTGCAGCATGCACAGAATGACCGGGACCAGACAGGGGAACGGACCTTGTGGATGGGGCAGCCCGGACGTACCTCTCCGGTCCCCTCTGAGATAGCAGCTGTCACGACAGGGCAGATGAGAAGGGCTGCACGTTTTCGTGACCGCTCCGCACCAGTAGTAGGCTGCAGAGCCACGCCTATCACTGTCTTATTTTCCGGGTATGGCTTATATTGCACAAATGCTTAGAAATCCTGCTATGGCTTATTTGGTGGGCATGTCTTATTTTCGGGGAAGCACGGTACTACCGTGGATTCCTTTTTGAGGCAGGCATTGCTAATATTCTGAAGTCAGGTGAGGAAAGTGCCTGGAGATGTTAAGGGATCTTCCCAGGAGCTTGTGACCAGGAATCACTTAAATACAGTCACAATTCCTCACGTTGGTCTCTGTTTTTTAGGAATGCAAAATAAAGGGTCAGACAGAGAAAACCTCCAGCTTGTTTATATTGTTTAATCCTAATAGTGCTGGCCCATTTGGGTGGGTAGGGGGATTAGATCACAACATTTACAAATCAAGAAAGTAATCCTTTACAACAGTTGGCTGAACCTGAGAAGTCACTACCTGTTTGGAACCATCACATGCTCTGCAGTTCGCCCTGGTTTCCACCCTCTTTACTGTGTAGCTCAAGGCCTTGCCCGGCCTGTTCATTGTCCTTAGAACACTCTTTCCTAGAGAGCCAGCTCACATTCTCCTTTCTTGCAAGGGTAACCGAAATGTCATCTCTTTAAAGAAGTCTTCTTGGGTCTTTATATAAAACAATAATCCTCTCCTGTCCACCCTATGCTACATTTTTTTTGTAGTTCCTTATCATTACTTGATACATGGTTCATTGCTAGCAGGAGGAATTGTAGAGGTCAGACATTAGACCACCAAAGGAGCTAGGCAACTTAGGCAAGTCAATAAACTTCTTAGTGACTTGGATTCTCCATTTATGAAATGGATAATTACTACACATACCATAAGGATAAACCAGTCTTGTAATTTCATTGCTCACTCAATGACTCACTTATTTACAGTATTTGTGGAAATTATTGAACCAATCAGAATATTTTTGGGTACATGCAGGCTCTGTAGAGGGTTGAATTTGTGATACTAAGACACTGTTCTCTTTTTAGACCTGACCTGACAAAGTAAAGTAGCTTGAGGATTTATGCTGACAGAACATTCTGGGTCTCAAATATTCTGAAGCCAACTTTGATCTGAGACTGGCTATGAAAGTGGAAATTCCATGAATCCAGACGATTTAGGTGAAAAGGTAAAAAAAAAAAAAAGCAAAAAAACCAATCCATATCCCAATGCGTTCTTCATTTAGGAGAAAAAGAGAATGTTGGAAGAAGTCAGTCTGATGAAAACAACAGTCTATCAAAGGACAGCTCATGTGGGGCAATCATATGCACCTTTGCATTCAGCCTAGAGCCCCACAGCTGGCAGAGAGATCCGCCACCCTCTGCCCAATTCCCTCCTGCTTACGTGAATCTTCTCGATTTCCTCCAAAGCTTCTGTGTGGTAAAAGGTAGAAAGGCCTTCTTGGAAAGGTGCCATCTTTTACCACACAGATGCTTTGGAGGAAATATTATACAAGCTCATTTGAGAGTTCCTGAGAGGGAGCATGAGGACAAGGTTGTGGCAAGGATGTGACTAATAACCATTACCCAATTGCTCTTCTAAAATTGCCTCCCATCTTCCCGTTCCCTGACGTGAACTTCAGCTTGCATATTGATCCCTGTCCCTGTGAAAGCTGAGGGCACTTGAGTCCTCACCTCTTTGAAATGAAGGGGTTCACTAGATGAACTCCAGGATCCGTTGCTGAGCTAACATTTTGTGTGGTTGACTGAATTGCCCTAAGCTCCCTGCCTGCCAGACTGAGCGGGAGCATCTCATGAGGTTAAAGTTTCACTCAAGAAACTTGTTGCTTTCTGTATTTTTATTATGCATTCTCTTCTAGTCTACTGGGCAAAGCAGGAAGGAAAAAATCTTTTTTTGGCACTCTTGCGTAAGTACTAAGCACAAGGTCAGTAGTTCAAACCTACTAGCCCGTCTACAGGAGAAAGATGAGACTGCC